TTGAATATAATAAACAATGTATGCGTTATAATTTTTGAATCGTGTAGTTGGATTTATAGTTACTTTATAGTTTAAATATTAATTAATGTAACATTAATGCAATATCTTACTAAGTTTTCTTTATATGTATATTTCAGACTAAACAATGTACATTTCGAGAGGACTTTATATCGAGATCAATATTACAATATTGATTCTAAAATTTATATTTCGGACAAGTTTTTCAATGAATTGCAATTCAGGACAACCAATCAACTTATTCAGAGATAATATGGTTATACACTCTCATTCAAGTGATCTTAAACTCCCAAAGTAACATATATGTGTATATAAATAAGCGATTTGGTAGATACAAAAGTGTCATATTGAAGCTATGTTTTCAGGGTTTAGAGTGAAAAAAACTTGTCTGGAATATAAATTTTTTATAACATTTTTGGTAATAATTTACTTAGTATGATATGATAAGATATTGTTTACTATAGTCGATAAGGCTTCTTGCAGATGCATCTACTTCATTTGAAAAGAATTGTGTAAGAGGCATTCAAGCTAACAATGATAGAATTTCAAAGTTATTATATATTCAACCTAAAAAAAATTCTTATATGTACTTATGATTTTGGCTCCTTTTAGTCGATTATGTTCGATTAATTGTTGATTTATTATTTCCTCTAATTTTAAATAATATCTGTTTATGAGACATATAAAAGTTGGGGGAAAAAAGGTTAAAAAACATACTGTAAATATTTTGTTTTTTGTTTTTTTTTTTTTAGTTTGGAAAAAAAAATCTTATGAACCATTATAGAAAATAGTCTTAAAAAAGTTGTAGATAAATAAATTTGTAAAAAAAAAAATATATAAATTTAAAACGAATTCATAACAAAATTTGAAATTTGGACCAAATTTGTTTTAAAATCAAACCAAATTATAAAATTTGAGAAATGATTTACATGTTGCACTAATACATGTAACCACACATAAAATTGGTTATCATTTTAAAACATCAAATTGTTACTTAGACAACTTTTAAGTTGGTCTTTAAAAAACCAATGATTCCATATTTTTTATAATATATCTATCCACATTTAAGTTTATATCTACATTTTAGTAATAACAAACTTTCTAACATGAAGTTACCATCTTAAAAAAAATCAAATATCAAATTATATAATATAAAAATCAAAATATTTTCGTTAAATTATTAATAAAAAAAATACACTTTGATATTCCTAAAATCGCCATCTTTACCGAAACCTCTAGCAAGCAATTCAAAGATGGCACGGGAGATCAAAGAACCTTGCAAGAAGGAAGCCTGCGACATTCAAGCTTGTCTCTCCAAGAACAACTTTCTTCCCCAAAGGTACGCAATTCACTCCTTCCTTTTTTCTCAAGTTGATTCTCGAAAACACCATTTTACTTAACCTAGGATGTACGATCAATTTCACAATAGCTGTAGGGTTAATTTCATATCATTACTCTACTTTGTGTGATTGATTCGAACTCCCTTTTGGGACGTGAATCGAAAAAAACCCTAATTGATTTCTTTGTTTTGCTTTTATCGAATTGGTAGGTTAGAATTGGACATATAATCATATATTTCACTTCAACTATGCTTCAAACAATGCGATTTTATTTTTGTTTGGGATTAATGGCGTATTTAAGATCGTATTCGAACCTAGAAGTAGTTATTTTTTTTTTAATTTCATTTTGTTTCCGAAAAATTGAATTCATAATAGTTACTTTCAGATGAATTCAATCAAAATGGACCGAGATTGTATTGAATTCACCCAACACTAGCGTTCATTTATCAAAGATTTATCCAGAAACTTTAGCTATCTCTGCTATTATGCATGATTAGATTGCTCATAAAAGAGTCAAATATACGTTGCATCTTGATATTGATAATGCACTTCTGATTGTAACAGGTGTATCAGAGTTATTCAATTACTACAATCATGCTGTGAGCAATGCGAGAATAAATCAACTCATTGTGGCTCTGTTTCTGGTCTCTTAAAGCAAATAAACAAGTGATGTGTGACCTGAAAACAAAAGGGTATAAGGAAATGAAATCTATTTTTCTTTTTTGAGAAAGAGTAAAAGATGTTATAGGTAATTTCAACTCTTTTTCATGATTTGTGATACTAAAGAAGATAAATCAACTCAATGTTGATCACTGTGATAGTTCAGTTCAGTTGTTGAATTTTGGCTGCAAAATCTGCAGGAATAAATAAATGATGACACAGTGATTCTTAACATTGGTCGTGCTAGAGATTGGAGTTTGTGTTAATGCTGTAATCTGTATTCAAGAAATCTTTAAATAACTTGTACATTTATTAATTATATAGTTACATGCTATATCTAGGTTAACTAAATTACAGTTTTGATCCCTGTGGTGGTGTACACTGTTCTACAAGTTTGGTCCTAGTTTTTGAAATTTGACACCACTGACCCTCATGATTGGCAAATCCATCGGTTTTGGTTCTCTAAGCTAGCACTGCTGTATTTTTCTGTTAAGTTCAATAGAAAAAAGTTTTTTTTTTTTGCCCTAGGACCAAATTTGTTAAAAGCTACTAACTAGATGGACCATTTTTGAAAAAAAAAAAAAAAACTCTCAATTAAAACATGGTGGGGTTGGCCGGAAAGCAAGCTGAAAAGCTGGCTGTTATTTGAATTAAAACAGGGGCATTTTAGGCTATGTTTATCGTACTAATTGAAAAGCTAGCTGTTAACTGAAAAATTAACTGATACCTGAAAAGCTAACTGTAAAATAAAAAGCTATTTGATAGTTGAAAATCTAGCTGATGAAAAATGATGTTTGGTAAAGCTAACCGAAAAATATGAAATAACATAAAAGAACATTTAAAAAGTGTTTTTATAACTAATTAAGGGGTATATTTGAATTTTTTTTTTTTAAACTCCTAAAAAACTAGTCTAAGTAGCTTTTTAAAAAGTTAGCTTATAAGCTAGCTACTTTTTGGCTTACCAAACATGGCAATTTAAAAAAGTTCGTAAAATAAGTTAGTTTTTCAACTAGCTGTAGCGTGCCAAACACATGTGTACTTAACATACTTATATATCGATGGTAACAAAGGGAGGGACCATTTTTGATGGATTTGCCAACAATGAGGATCATTGATGTCAAATTTCGAAAACTAGGACCAAACCTACAAAAAGGTGTATATCTCAAAACGAAAACTGCAATTTACTCTATAAGTTATGTTTTGTTTCTAACGTTACTAGTTTTCCATGTATGGATAGTGATCCTCTAAAAGTTTTTTAGTTTATGTTTTACTATTTTAGTTTTAATTGGATTACTGAATAAGTGAATAATACAATAGTTATTCACTAAAATGATCATAAAAGAGACGAGTGTATATTTCAAGATATCCATATTTTTTGAGATTTTAAAAAGGGTAAGGCATAAACGAGTAACAAATTATCTAAAGTGTTAAAAATAAAATTGAATTAAATAAATGTTGTCATAATACCGTTGTAGTTGGGAGAACCTACTAATCTATATTACAATTGTATTTTAAAAACAAAAGTTACTTTATGACAACAGTTTAATAATACTTTTATACAATTTTAGACATTTTGTTACTTTATCATTTTTTTAAAAATAATCACTTTTTCTGATGCACGGTAAATCTTTGCGTCAATCAACAAAATTCTCCATAAAAAACTTTTACATTATAATATTTAATTTTTTGACATAGAAAATATATAAAAAAAACATTGATATTCTTTCATTAACAAGTTCATAAAAAGATTCCAAAAAGAAAAAAAAAATAATAATAACTTTATGATATTTAAGTGTCATTCTACTTTTCGTTTGTGAGAGTTCTTTGGTCCGTTTGAGAGAGGTATCGAGGCGGTGAGGTTTGGTAGGAGTAGGACTCTGTCATTGGTTATGATATTGCTTGGTCTGACACTTCATGGTGAGCCGCAAGAGATATTATGATAATAATATTAGACAAGTTGGATCAGTATATGTTTATGTTTTTTGGCATACATTTTTGCAAGATGTATAGTTTTTCCAACTTGCTTTCATAGATTGCTTAGGATCAGGATGAAAATAGGCATATGGTAGAGTTGATAAATCTTCCATGGTATTAGAAGTTATGCTCAACAAAGTAGATGTGTATGATGAAGAAGAACAATTGGAAATAAAAATAGGAGAAGATGGACGGAAGATAATTAGTTCATATATTCCTCCATTTGTAGGTATTCTACAAGTTCTAAGCTTATGTATCGTATTTTTTCTTGATCAAGAAATAATTCAAACTTAACTTTTATTAACCTTAAAATCCCCCCATGATGATATATATTTACACAAAATACCTTAACCATGCAAAATATGCTCGAATGATTTGTGGTTTGTATCAACAGTTGCATGGGAAACGTCAAGTTCATAAATGTACCTTACGAATAATGAGAAAGATTTGTGTGAACATGTTACCATTAAAATGTTTGCGATTTGAGTATCATCGTGATGAGATTCTAGTGGTTGATATACAGAATTCCCAAAAATCCAATGTCTAAAATCTAACATGCCTAAAATGTTACTATTGCTCTACGATTGTCCCCTCACTTGATGAGATTTGGCAAGTTCGGTGTAAACTACTAGATGACAACATTTACGAGTGGATAAATGAACACATCTTTCCACCACCTACTAGAACAAAATGTTAATATATTTTAATGCACCGATATAAATAGCACCCTAATCATCATGTACTAAACATTGAAAAAACATATAATTTTTCAATGATTTTTTTTTTTTTTTTTTTCTCATTGTTAATGTGATGTCATCAAAGAAGCAAATGCATGGTCATTGGAGATTCTCTCCAAATTATCAGTGAAAGCCTCCAATAGAGGCTAGTTCACACTACAAGTACATGTACATTAATCATCGTAAGTTGTTTATTTAACTTCCGTGCAACGAGAATTTGTAGAGATTTCTTCACCAAAAATTATTACAAATTGTCCACGTGTTGATGTTATTAAGCTCTTTGTTTGTCTCCTCTACAATGAAATAAAAACAATACAAAACAAGCAATATTAGTACCCATTCAACAAAATGGAAAAAATGGAAAAGAGGTAAACCATATAAAACCAAATACTATTTTATTATTTTATAACAACATACTTGAAAATAGTCCATGATATATGGTAAATCACGATTTTCATTTGTTTTCATAGATTATTCTAGAAAGTATCAATTTCTATGTAAATTTAGATTTTGTATTGTATTGATTAAGGTATTTCTGAAACTGATTGAACCTAAAGGAATACACGAGGATTAAATTGCACTCATGAGACCATATCAAATTTATTTTCGAAGAAAATGATTGTCACGAAATCTTAGGCATGTGTTTTTTGGCAAGGTTGATAGTTGTTTTTTATTTATTTTCATTTTCTATTCGTACAACAGTATACTTCTAACGTTTTCCTTAGTAAGTAATTAACGCAATAAAAATAATGAAATTGCTATCTTTTACATTTAGTCCTAAATTTTTTTAGCATACTTGGAACTCTTCCTTCAAGTCAATTAGTAATCAAACACAACAATAATCAACCAAAAAAAAAAAAAAAAAAAAAAACCCTTTCTTCTTTAACATCAAGACCCAGGGTTATTAAAGATTGGACATTTCTAAGAGATGAAACATGAAGGAAAATGGGATACATTTTGTATAACCAAATGTGGTTTACAATTACATTAGAAACTCCCCAATTCCCAAAACTAATATCTTCCTAGCTAAACAAGAGCTCCATGATACAATTACCTCTATATCCATGGAGAGAAGGTGGAAAAATTGTACAAATATGACCAAAAAAATACATTATGGAGACCTCATACAACTTGTATCTTGTCTTCTCAAAGGGATGCTTTCTTGATCTATACCATCTTCTTCATCATCCATATGCTTTGGTGATCGTATTGATAAAGGTATTTGACCTATACAATCAAGGTTTGACCATGGTCAACAACATTTAAAAACAATATGCAAAAATCTACTTCACAACATACCATCAACCATGTCTTTGGTTTTATGAAGAAGGAAGGTTCCAGAAAGAATTGTCACAAACCCACAAAGTTCAGTGATAATCTGGGATGGATTCTGCCTATCCCAATCCTGTATTAAACATAGTTAAAAGACATAAATACCCTTCCATATTTAACTACACTTATCAAAGAAAGAATTACCTTAAACATGATCACACTTGCCAAGATTGTAAGAGATGTGAACATAACATAGTAAATTGGTGAGACAACAGCAGTATTAAATGTATCAAGTGCCTGAAAATCAATATCAATTCCAAAGAAAAATCTACTCAAATTCTATACAATGTTGTAATAATAATAAATGGATCAATAAAAGTACATTTGTTGTTACCTTGTTTAAATAATTCATTTGAGTGATGACACAAAGCAAAACAATGAAAGTAAAAGCCCATGTTTGAGGGTATACTAACTGATTCATTCCTGATAAAGTTAGCTTCAAAGCAATACCAATAGCTTTCACACTCATGACCTAAAAAAAAATATATGAAATAAACATGATGAATGACAATATGTCAATATGAAAAAAGAGTTGGAAAATATACAAAGATACATACCGATAAAGAACCTACTAATGAACAAACTCCAATGTAGCACATTATGTGTGTTTGACCATATGAAGGTATGTAGTGAAATACAAGTATAAAAACAGCTATCAACACCATTACTGCATATAGAAGAAAAGCTGCAGAAAGAATAACAATAATGTAAAAAAGAAAAGTAGTTTTATGTGTTTTTCCCAAAAAAGTTGAAAATTTTAGAGGAAGAAGATACCTGGCTCAGTGGCAAGACCCCATACTTCTGTGACTGATTCAATAGGGCGTTCTTGAGGAGCATGTAGAACGATTGTTGTGGACCCCACAACACATAGAACACAACCAAGAATTCCAAAAATGTGTAGCTTTTCTCTTAGTATAATATGTGCAAGAACAGCACTGCAATATTTGATACTTATTGATGTTTAATACTTTAGTAATGATATAATATTTGTATAAATATAATCAGATGTAGAGTTTTGAGGTTTTAAATGCCTTATAATAATGCTGAGTGCCCCAAGAGGAGTCACCAAAATAGCTGGTGCAAATGCATATGCTGCAAAGTTTGCAATTTCTCCAACAATCACTGTTGTGAAATTCAATACAAGTGTCAGTAATCAGTAATCAGATGTAGAGTTAATGAGTCAATGAGGATATGAGTTAATCTGGTAAGTTATATATGAGTGTTTCTTTTTGACTTTACAGAGGAAGTGAGTGAAATGAGGCTTTCCCCATTAAATCCTAACTGTTTACAAATTTAGCCTCTGTAAAAGTGTAAAAGTTTAAACAAATAGAAACATACTCACTTGTTATCAAGCCTATCCACCATAGAGGCTCGTATAAATATGAATATCCTCCATTTCCTGAGAAAAAAGGTACGAGTTTTGTTAGTTGGACATTGAATTGACTGTTGTAAGAAGCATATGCTAAAAGTAATGTAAATCGCATGCGTCCAGAAAGCTAATTTGTATGGTGGAATGGGGTATTGGAATCTGGAATGGTAAGTTATTAAGAAGGTGATAACTGGAATAGAGATCAAATAAGATCTTCGTTCTTCAAGAATCTCCATTGTTAGGGGGCTTTGAAGTTAGAATTATCAGATCAAATGGATAGCCCTCGAGCATCTTGATTGACATCAATCATGACTTGAAACAATCACCGATTTTAATTTCGGCGATATCAACCTTTGAAAGGTGGAGTGAACTCAATTTTTTAAAATCTGTCGAAATTCGTGATGATTAGGTCATCTGCAAATCGTAAATGAGAGGATAACATCTAAAATGTCACTTATAGTATACCTCTCGCATCTATGAAACTTTCTAGTAGTGTCAACAATGGAAGCATAAATTACAATTCGGAAAGTAAAAGGGCCGATCGCTAATAATTGCCCTCATCAGATCGACACGAAATTAAACCAGAAGATCATTCAGATCTGTCGAGTGTATCATGGATTCGAAGTCCAACATTTCCCATTTGAAGTAAAAAGAAGTCCATAACTAATGAAAACTTAATTAACCTAGGCGCAAAATAAATCACAGTGAAGTTGAACATAACTGTTGCTTGGATCAAAAGCAAATAGAAACAAATCGTGAGATGTGTAACCACCTGCTCTAATACCAGAGGCGCCTGCTTTCTTAAGACCCTTTTTCTTAACAATGAAGCTAGCACCAATGAACAAACTGGAAGACAATGCTAAAACCAAACCCTTGATATTATCCGCAGACATGCCCCTGTAAGCATCCTTCCAGCTGTGTGAGGCCATTCAACATCAAAATCGAGAAAACCCTACTATCGTTTTGCTTTTTGTCTTTCAGGACTCCATTTTCTTGAAGGAAAGGTGAAATTTGAGCAGAAATTGGAGAAAAAGGTTGTTGGGAGTGAGAAATGGATAGCAGGGTGTTGAATTAAGAAGGTTTTATGAGAGATCTAGTGGGTTGAACTTGAAGTTGAGTTAGGTGGCAACAGCTGGAGTGTGGGGATGTGATAAGGGCTTTGCATCAGATCGGGGAAGAGATGAAGATTAGTGCAAAATTTGGATTTGATTTGATTTTTGAAAAAGCAAAAGTATACGTTTTGGGGAGGGGAAGGGAAGAAAGAAGATCCACGTCTCATCCGTTTATGCTCTCTCCCTCTAACTTCTCTATCAACTTTAGATGGTGGGATGATATTCAAATAAATATAACAAAAGATGTTAATTTTGCTATATTTAACATAAACATTATAAATAAATATAACAAAAGATGTTAATTTTGCTATATTTAACATAATCATTATGGGAAATTGTATATTTAAGTTATTGAGTTAATGTCCATAGTAACCATGGTTAACCAAAAATTTATAAAAATTTATTAATTTATAAAGATTAAGTTTATAATGATTAATTAAAATTAATATATATATTGTTAAGAATATGAGATTTATGTTGTGTACTACACCTTTAGTTAACACAGTAAAACAAACATAGACACTACAAAAATTGTAATCATCAATCATACATTCGTAAATAGTTAGTTTTATACACAATTTGATGTTTTGTCCGCAAATCTTCATCATTATTTTTAACTAATGTATAGTTTCAAAATATTAATCATGTTCTTTAAGTCAAGATTAATGATAAAACAATTATGTTGTATATAGAATATAAAATTTAATAAAATGAAAGTAAGAATATAGAATAAACATATAATTTAAAAAAACACGTAATATATTCGTAATATCATTACATTTAGAATATATCTCTAAATATGCATAACTTATGTATACTTTAAAATATTACATTTAGAATATATTTCTAAATACATATAATTATGTTGTAAATCAAACTAATAGACACGCAAGGAAACCGACAAATATATTGAGAATTATATGTCGATTAGTTACAAATAATAAATCCAATTATTATTAATATGTTTACCAAATTTCATCCGATAACTAGATCTATTCTTCTCGATTAGATATTATTATAAGAAATGTAGAAGAAGATTGTCCTGTTGTTGGACGAAATTAAACACAAGATAGAAAAATAAAACCGACCTGTCGATGGCTGATCTTAAATTTGAAATAACTGCACGGATCAAACTTATGTCCTTAAAGGTTTTTACTTCGCTTCTACTGGCTGTAAGCAACAGAGTAAAGCCCCATGATTTAATGCAGATCTATCGATTTTCCAACAACACTAGAAATCGATAAACACAAAGTGAATACTCGGAAACCGGAAGAAAAAGCACAGAGAGCTTTGATTTTTCGTGAGTGAGTAATGCAACTCCTAAGGAGCTATATTCACAGGTATCGAAACCCTAGAAGGCATGAAACAGACCCTCATAGGTCGACCCCTAGAAACCCTAGGGGACGACTTGCTCTCCAAGCAAGTTGTTTCATGATCCTTCCAGAATATTCTGACTTGTCCTCCACGAAGTCAACGACGGTCAACCATTTGATCGGATTGGTCAAACTGGTTTGACACGAACTCGTCAAAAATAATAGCTCCTCGGCTCCTGATGCGTCGTGCGGAGTGCAAAGTGCGCGTAAATTGTGCACTCGCGACGTTGGCTAGTGCTAGGCGCATGCGTGGCCAGAATTTTGAAGGGGACTGATGTTTCGAAGCTCTACCTGGCCAACAAATAAGATTTTTTGATTGGATTTGCTCATATCAAGTTATTCATAGACAATTATTATGAATATCTTGCATTAACTGATGTTGAGTTAGCTTTGGTCATTGGTAAACAAATCACAATGCCCGAATCGTTATTGATGAGTCAAACAGATCTGAAGTCTTATGCTGATGGGAAAATTTGCTTGAAACCTTTGGGAGTTGTTTTTGTTAGGAAGAACAAGAAAGGAAAGAATATGAAATTCTTGTTCCAGTCCTGTGATGTAGAGAGATATACAACTTCTCATCATACGAATAGTTCGTATGAATAGTTGTAAGAAGAACAATGATGAAGACAAGGATGAGATCAAGAAGATTATCAATTGGTATTCTGAGATTAGAAGAGTGATTCATCAAGCAGGCCAGATGCTTTTGACTTAGATTCAACACTCCTCACAAAGGGGAGAATGTAGAGTTCGAAAATGTTGTGAGGTGTCAAATGTGTCTTAGTTAGTTTGTTGTGTCAAAGCGTTTTTGTAAGATTGCTTATTATAAGGGAATTATGTTTCGAAACTTAAGTGTTTTTAGTCCCTTATATTTTTTGTATGCTTTCTTGATCCATATATATATATATATATATATATATATATATATATATATATATATATATATATATATATATATATATATATATATATATATGGGGTAAATACTAGAGTTAGAGAGTAACTTCGTTATTCATATTGTATTCTCTGAAACATTCTCTATACTTCAGAAAGCTTAATCAAGCCAAACAGACATTATTGAGATCTTGTGTTCATCATTCTTTCATAACTCTGATCTCGTAATTCTTACTTGATTAAAACACAACTACATTTGGTATCAGAGCAGGAATCAAATAGTTTACGATCTGATTTTCTTTTGTTTTCAAAAGTATTTTGAGTCTCGTTCCAGATTCAAATTTTTCCGCTCTTTTGAATCTGAAAATCTTTGTAGATCATCTGTTTTGATTCGATTATGCATTTTATTGTTTGAATCGAGTAAACATTGTCAATTTCTAATAGTTTTTGTTATTGGATCTCATTTTTTGAAGCTTTTTTTTAAAAACCTTCCGTATGACAATGGCGAGCTTTAACATGAACACTATGACATCTTACTCTCGTATTCTTGGTTCTTCAACTAAGATTCCAATGTCAATCTCCGAGTTCTACGATCAGTGGGTTGATCGTATGGACAACTATCTGAATGGGATTAATGAGGTGCTCTGGAAATACATAATTGGTGATGTTCGTCCACTTCCTGCTGTTCAAAATATTGGAACTTCTTCTAATAATCAAAATGTCCAAGACCAGGCTGAGAAGTTGAAAAATGAAAAGAAATGTATGCGAGAAGTTTGTGGTGCTCTTCCACCAATCGTATACAATTATGTGTGCAACTGTAAAACTTCAAATGAGATTTAGGATACACTAAAGGAGAAATATTAAGGAAGCGAGAAAACTAAGATCAGTTCAGTCAAGCAATGTCTGTTGGAGTTAGGAGAGTTTAAGCAGAAGGAAGGAGAATCAAGTGAGTCTTATTATGACCGTCTGAATGAGCTCATCTTCAAATGTAACATATATGGTGTAATAAGGTCAACAATGAAGTTCAATCTTAACTTTAATTTATTAATTAGCAATAGTAATGATTAATTAAGAATTACACATAATTAATTAGAATTAATTTTGGGTTAGTTAGAATTAATAAAGATGCAAGTGTTGAATCACAATTGTTCAATAATTGAACAATGAAGGAAATTCTAAAACCTCTAGCCTATGGATGGTTTTAAGAGGCTTTAGAAGGTTCAAGAAGCCTCCTGAATCATATAAGGAAACACAATTTGGATATGAATAACATAGTATTATTCTATTATTCAAATCTAGGTTTCAGGGTTATCTGATAGCTATATAAAGGGTCTTAACCCTAAGCTAAAACTCATTATAGCCTCCTCATTATAGCAAATCTCCAGAAAAGTCCTTAAACTTTAACCTTATTAACTAAAAAGTCATCCATGATTTTTAAAAAAGTCCTTAAAATTTAACCTTATTAACTAAAAAGTCATCCATGATTTTTTACAAATAAATTTAGTATATATAAAAAAGAAAATCTTTAGAAAAGTCCTTAAACTTTAACCTTATCAACTAAAAAGTCATCCATGTTTTTTTTTGTTTGAAATTTTACTCTTAAAACTGGTACTAACCAGTTACAAAGTGTTTATCAGTTTCAATGGTTAAATTGCAAACACACACACACACACATATATATATATATATATATATATATATATATACACACACACACACACACACACACACTAATAGTGCCAAAGTATAAGGACGATATTTATTTTATTTTATTTTTGTAGATTTCCCTCTAAAAAGTATCCATGGAAATTAACTTCTCAATCCAACAAAAATATATCAATTTCAAGAACCAAATTGTTATGAAGTAAAACTTTTTGAGAAGTAATTTTGTAACATCTAGAAAATCAAAGTAAATTAAATTTTTTCAAAAACATCCCAATAACCATAATTATCTACAAAACCATTGTTTCGAAAGTGTTAATCAATAATCATAGTGTCTCAAAATCTAAATAATGTAATTTGGAGGATGTGCACGATCACGCCTTCGCCCTGCCACGGTCATCTGAAGTACCCAAAACAATAAACAGAAACTGTAAGCCAAAGCCTAGTGAGTCCCCCCTAAAGTACCACCACACAAACATATAACCAGACATATATCGGGTCCATAACCTTTCAATTGGATTACCCGCCGCCCAAAACCTTTCGGTTGGAATGCCTCGGCCCACAACATTTCAGTTGGATTGCCAATACATACTAGGTGCACAACCTCCTGGTCGGATTAACTCCGACCCACAACCTTTCGGTTGGAATGACCGGGTCTGTTGACTGACAACACAAAGAAATACAGTCTCAACCTCACCATATTATGTCAACATACACATAAAAAATAACAAATATCTAGCAACAGATAATCATATAACCAATCAGCAGACAAACATGTAAATCTACAAATCACTATTGCATAGCAACATCCTATATACCAAGATATAGATCTAACATATCACTAGAACATAACAACATTCTATATACTAGGATACACAATCTAGTGGGCCAACATTGGTTCCTTTGACCTACGAGTACAATGAGGAAAACTCACCTCTCAGTCTGAACGATCGTTGAACAGGGCATTGCTCCGACTATCAGCTCTACTGGTCACCTATTCATTAGAACATGACCGAACTTAACTTATAATGAAAATACCCAAAATACCCTTAGGTAAAAATGATGGGGTTTCAAGGTTACACGTTCAATACACTAAGAGAGAAATTTATTTAAACAACTCAAATAAATTAAGGCACATGCAACCTAGTTTGATCTATGTCTTTCAAGAATAGCAACATACTATGAACCTTAGATTATAAAACTTTCCTATACACTAATTAAATAATAAGAAGAAGAAACACCAACCTTTGAGATTGTTGTAGTAAATAATCCTTGATTTCCTCTTCCAA